GGTTGCGGCCCGGTGGCGTCTGCTGGCAGCGGCGCGGCGCGGTGCGGTGGCAAGGGCGGGCCGCGGCGGCGGGCCGAGGCGAGGGACGCCGGGGCGCTCCGGCCGGCGCGGCTCCGCTCTTCTCGCTGGTGTTTCTTGTCGGGCACTGGATTTCGCTTTAGCTCGGGGAGGAAGAAGGAAAAAAAACAACGAACCGAACAAAACCAACCAAAAAACTAACGGCGAAAAAGTGACCTGGCTGGTGGTGGCTTTTATTTGGTCGTGCTGTTTCCTAGGCCTCCCCCCTGGAAGGCTGGCGTGCGGGTGAAAACTGGGACTGCCGGACTGGGAGATGCGGAGTTTGCTCACCGCCTGGGTCTGTAGTTCAGCTCCCTTTGTCCCTTTTATGTCTGCACCGTCGCGGTACTCGGGCAGCACAGCAATTCTTGCAGATTCCCAGCCTTTTCTCTCTCTTTTACGGTGCTGCCACGAGTAAAATGTTCTTTTTCAGGGCTGCGAGCATTTGCAGCGCGCCTGGGGATTATTCACGGGGTGGCGAGCCCACGTCCCCGCTCCCGCTCGCCTCCCCGGGAGCAGAGACCCGGGAATAAAAAGCCCAATCGATATTGCGATTCCATTTTTTAAAAGCGAATCTTAGCCAATTAACAGCAATGCAGGCTGGCCCCTTTTTGAAGTGCTAACTAAAATATTCGAGGGGGGTAGTTGGAAATGTTGGTCCTTTTACAACTCGCATAGAGAAGGCGAGCTAATGCCGTTAAACAAAAGGCACTAAGCCACATATTCAGGCTTAGGGAATTCAGCAACTTTTTATATGGGCAATTTGTTTAAGCTTAGATTTCGGAGTACGGCGTGGAATATATGTGGTTGAAACCTGATCTGCCTTGGACAGATTCCTTCCATCCATCCACCCACCCATCCATCCATTTATCCCTTCCGAGAGGATCTCCCCAAGCGTTTTACGCTTACAGCTGAACGATTGTATTTTTAAAGCGTTAGTTGGAGGAACGCCGTCGTCCGCTGCGCATTTTGAAGTCGACGCGTTCAATAACCCCATTGGCACCTAAGCCAAGGCCCCGGGCTCTCGTTTGCGGCGGCCGAGATGTGGAGCGGCGCTGGTGGATGTGCTTTGGGTTCCTGAAGACCTTTGGGTTCTCCGTGCCTTCCCTCCGGTGGATTGGGCTGGGCTTTCTAGCCGGGGCGCTGCTCGGCCCGGGAGTGATGCCTCGCTAACCCTCTGCCGCGCCGCAATGAGCCCAAGGATAAGATTATAGTTTCCCCTGTGATTTTTTTACGGCTTTTTAAGGACCGGGGTGTTAAAATATTTTGCGGAACTGGAGAGGTAGATTAGCAGGGTTTCTTGCCAAAGCTGGGAAGCTGGTATTACAGACTGTCCCAGGGGGAAATCGCTCACATTAACCACTAAATGAATATTTGACAAGGGCTCATTCGGGGGTATTATTACTACAAACGGGTCCCTACTGGACTTTCCAAGGGTCAAAGAGCAATGGTTCAATTAATTATTTAGACTGTTAGCGGGCTGGGCTGTAAGAGCCGTGCTGCTCTCCGCAGCGGCGGGCCCGGCGCGGCCGAAGGCGCCCGTTCCTCCCGGGGAGCCGCGGCCTGGCCCCGGCGGGCGCCCCCCCCCCCCCCCCCCCGCGGGGGGCCCGCCCCCCCCGCCCCCCCGCCGCCCCCCCGGCCCG